TCTTTCCTCTCCTACTTCTTGCTGTCTACTTTACTCTACAGTCAACGAACAAGACAGAATTCTATGGCAGGTCAAACTTCAACAGGTAGCTTGAACCCAACCCGAGCCTGGCCCAATTATACACATTCATACATACATATGTGCATATATATATATATATATGTGTGTGTGTGTGTGTGTGTGTGTGTAAATTTTGCATACATCTTTACATATATACATACATACCACACATTTGTACACACATTTACCTATATGCATACATATTTATCTTTATACATACTTATATGTATACATATTTACATAAATGCATATATACATATATAATTTCAGAGTGGGCTCATTGACTAACCCGAGCCCGACCCAGGCCTGAGCCCAACCCGAGTGCATTAAATTACAATGCGTGGTTGGGCTCAGGTTGGGAAGATCGAGCTTGACCTCAAGCTCAGGCCTTAATCCCAAATTTTAGGGTTGACCCTAGGTTGACCATAAATCTGGCCCAACCCGCCCGACTTGCACCCCTAATGGTCAAGGAGTTAGGGGTGGGGTTGGAAGAGAAAGGGAAAGAAAAGGGGTTATTTAAGCTCACCCAAAACCAATCTAGTTAATAAACTAAAGTAACATGGACATCTTCTTAACACCAGCCCATGCATTGCATGGGTCGCTTCCAGTTAATGAGCAAAGAAGGATAAGACAGTAGAAAGAGGAGAATGAACAATGGAACACTCCAATTATGCCCAATGTTGACACTAAATCGTGAGGCACCCCACCAAACACTTCCATTCTCGATCCTTTTTTTTATAAATGTTCTTAATCCATTTTGTTGTCCAGATTTAATTTGTAAAAGTTATCAAGCCCACAATAACCTCCACATAAGTTGACAATTGACTTAACAATTGTTTCACTTCATAGATGAAGTGGGAGGACCATAGATCCTTACCTAGAAAATTTTTACAGGGATGACCTCTATGGCTCTATAGGCCATCTAATTGAAATAGCCCATCCGACGAGAAGCAAGTACCCCCCCTCACTCCCTTCCTCCATCCCCAATTTCCAAAAAGAACATCTTACTTATCTATTTGCAACACAAAAGCCTTGTAGCAACCATTCCTTTTGAGCTGCTGCTGCTGCTGCCAAATAAGTCTTGTAACCCTTTGATCACTTCATATCCTCTCTAAGCACCCTATTCTATTTGGAGCATAACACCTTTCCCTTCAAACCTCCTCTTCCCTTCCTAGTTCCTACTACCACTTTTGTCTAGAACAACACTTGGTTCCACTCCAGTGCTCCCCAAAACCTCTAGAGCTTTCTTGGGATTTCATCTCTTTCACACAACTGACCAGTAGCCAGTTACTTTCACCATTCTGCCATCCTCTATTATTCCTCCTATCAGCACCCTTGACAATGTATCACTGTCAGCATCAGCATTGGCAATGTCATTGGCATCAGCATCAGCATTGGCCAAGGCATGATAATAACAAAACTTTTAGAGTAATCATTCAAAAATATCAGGATATAAATATATAATAAAGGTTTCAATTTTTAGCCTATCTTGTTTTCTTAAATTTTAAAGAAAGGTTTTTATATTTCTTATAGTAATAAGTGTATTTATATATTTTCTTTGCAAAAAATGCATCAAAATAACAACCAGAATTGCTTTGGAGAGTTGTTATTGACAATCCTGAAGATATAGAGCCGATAAATCCCCTAATCCTTGCACCCTTGTATATCGAGTTATACTTAGCCTTGTCTACCCTAAAACACTAAGATTAGGATGGGTTTTAATCAGAAAACAAACCCCACACTGCACACAGCATCCCCATTAAGCTAGAGTTCATATGAATCCTTTCAGGTTGTAATCCTTTTCAGGTCAGGGTTGAGTTGAAGTTCAATGAGGTTAAACCAACCATTATCAGCATACAAGCACATAAACATATCAAATATTGCATTATTTGTGGATGAAAATGCATTTGAGCATGGAAAAATAACTGAATGATCAATAGCTGAAATATGGAATGCAATAAATTAAGCAAAATAAGTCCAACAGGGAAAACCCCATGAATGTGCATTAGAAAGTACAGGTAAACTTTGACAAAAAGAAACCACAACCCTTTACTCTCTGACTCCAGGAAAAAAAAATCCATCAATGTGCAGTCTTAACAGTTGGAATTTACTTAATTAACCAACCACAATAATATTTTTAATTTACTCTTTCCATTTAAGTGGGCAAGTAATTGGAACTTTTTTTTATTTTTTGGGATAGATGTAATTGGAATTTACTCTTCAGGGAATTTACTCACTGCCCCTCCACAATAAAAGACTTCAACAACAAAGTAACTGAAATCTTCGACTTAGAACTTTACAATTGCCCATAAGAACTTACTTTTCCTTCACTACCAACAATCTGGAATTGAAATTTTCCAGTAAACTACATAAGAAATTCTTACTTTTCCTTCACTTGGTTAACCGAGGGGATCTTTGCCAATGTATATGATTGTGATTTAAAAAAAATATGCCATATTAGTAAACATAAGCCCCTAACTATACTGATTTCTACTCTTCATCATATGACAAGTAGTGAAATTCCACAATGTTTGTTTTCATGAATTGAAATAGCCTGTCATCTCTGAATTAAGACATACATGCAGAAGCACGCCGAAAGACGTCAGTATTGGTCAAATAATGATACCGGTTGTAAAAACTAAGACAGAGAAAACAGAGTGCAAGAAGTCATCGCAAATGGATAAAACTCATCGCAATGTTTATTGAGTGAAATGAGTTATTTATAAATACATTTCGAGTCAGTATGTAACCGACTTGTAACTAATTTGACGCAAGTGGTGAATGGCACGTGGTTAGCCTGCTGTCTAACACTAAATATTCTAACACCGGTGCAGAGAAGTGGCAACATAACCATTGAGAGTAAGAGAATAATTAGAATGAAGAACGCGTAGAAACCCTAATATGAGAAGAGATCTTACTGTCTAGTCGCAAACCCTCCGACAGCTAATCTCTTACCATGGAAGTTATGTTCAGATTTAACCAGCCACCAATCCTGCAGACAAACCTAGAGAAGAATAACAACGTTAGAAAGGAACGCAAATAAAAATGAAAACGACGAATTCAAGATGCTCTCTTCAGATTAACTCGGGAGAGAAGAAACATAAAATGGTACCATTCTGAGGGATGCGGACGACATGGTTCTAGTATCGAGGATCTGATTTGAAGCAGTTGTAGGAGAGGTCGTCGCCATGGCAGTTGCAGCAACAAGTTCGCTTGCCCTTCAGCTTCCCAGGGATTTTTGGCGGGAACTTTTTTCAAGCTGGATGAGAAAATAATTTTCCGGTGAAGCATAAGAAGGCCTGTAGTTACTAGTTAGGGCCGTCAACGTGTCGGGTCTGGGCCGGGACGGTGTAGAACGTTTCCGGACCTTAAAAAAAGGGAAAAGTACGGGCAGGTCCATTGAGAAATCTGAACACCAGGCCAGTCCATACAAAATTTACAATGACATTTAAGTTCGAATTTTGAAATTAAAAGACAGATTCCCACGCCAAGTAAGCATTACACTCTTACCTATGTTTTTGCTGTGAGATGGTAATTCAGCTCGGATTCTATGTCATAATAATATTTATTTAAATTTTTATTTGAAAATTAACCTTAAGTTGTAAATACTAAAATGACCTTGCCAGGGCTCACCCTCTTCTCTCCCGCCCTCCTTCTCTCTCTTTTGTTATCTCTCACAGTCTCAACTCTCTTCACATTTCTTCCTGCAACTTTTCCCTCGACAACTGAACTTCAGCTGCTCTCCCTCCTCTCTCACTCTCTTTCGTTGTCTCTCACAATCTTAGCTCTCTTCTTTTCAGCTGCTTCCTTGCAACTGCAAGTTCTCCTCCCCAGTGGCGCCCCTCATTCTCACTCTCATTTTCTCCTCCCTCGCTCCCCCCTGTCTCTAGTTCTCGGTCTCTCTTGTTCTCACTTTTCTCCCATTCTCGCTATCCCTTTTTCACACTCTCGTTTTCTCCTCCCTTGCCCCCTCAGTCTTGCTCTCCCTCTGTTGTGCCCTCACCCTCTCCCACTCTCCCTCTATCAGTCTCTCTCGCTCTCGCTTTCTCCCATTATCTCTCTCTCTCCCTCTATCCTTCTCTCTTGTTCTCCCTCCTCGCTCTCACTCTCTAACTCTCTCTCGTTCTCCCTCTGTCTCACCCCCACTCTCTCTCTCCCAGTCTCCCTCCCCCTCTCTATCGTTCTCCTGCTCTCCCTCTGTCTCGTTGTCCCTCTCCTGCAAATTTGTGGTCGATGTCGAATCTAGAGGCATTGGAACTTATCAGCTGGAGAACATTTCTTGTTATTACATAAGTTGATTTTTCTAGGTAGCATTGTTGCTTTTTTCACTTCTATTTTGTCTCAATATATATCAAGTGAAGGCCCATCTTAATCGTTTTTGTTTCTTGTGCAGCATTTGTCACCGCTCCATCATTTTGTTTGCCTTATCCATCAAACTAAAGTTTTGGCCAATACATTGAGGCCTTCCCTAACCGGAGGAAGTTATCATTTTGAACACTTGTGTCACTAACATGTATTTAACAATTAATTTGTATGATAATTTCATTTGTTATAGTCATTTCAAATAAATTTGATTTTTGTTTTTTTTTGCATTTCTATCACAGTAAATAGGTTGTCGTTTTTATATAAAAAAAAATTGTTAAGTTGTGTTTGATGCTGATTCATTCCTGTTGAATATGCATTGGAGAACGAGTGTACATTAGTTTACACATGGAAAAGAATATAAAGCAAGTGTGTGTTTGTAAAATTTCTTCTATGGAGGTCAATCTACTTTGGTTATGAAAATGTCTCACCAAAACTAAGAGGGTGTTTGCCTTCTCAAAATGCTATTCAAATTCCTCTTATAAAGAATTAAATTGAGTTAATGAGAAACACTAATTTGTAAGTTGAATGTCCTCAAATCAAAGAAACCTGAATTTGCTTACCTAAGGTGAGAATTCTGGCTAAAATTAAAATAGTAATTAAAAGTGATGTTGATAAAACTTAAATGGGAATAATAACCTTATAACCTTAATATGAAAAGATGCTAAATTAATTACAACTAAGGCCAACAATAAGCATGGAATAAAGCAAACAAACATGTTTTGAATAGAGAAGAATAAATTTATGATAAAAATAACTTTATAATAAATAGGCAATAACCGTGGAACAAAGCAAATCAGTGGAAAAAATTTAAACAAACAAAAGTTTGAAAACAAAATAGAAGTTAATTCCATCACACCATTCGTAACCTATTATCATTCCAAAACCACAACCAAAAAGTGAGGCAAAATGAAGATAAGTTACTGATTGAGATTGAAGACACAATAGCAAGAAAATCCAAAAAATTGAGATATGTGACTGATGAAATATTAAGGTTAAGAATCTCGTCAACCCAAACCTTATCATCCCCATGGGATACAAAGAACTAAATAAGGGAGAGTACTACAGTATATATTACACTGAATTGAATCATAGTTTTCGTATTCCAGACATAAGTTCTTATCCAACCATCCAATCAAATGACTTTACCTTACAATGATCCCAAGGCTTGGCATTCTAGAATTAAGTCATAATCTTTGGCAGTTTTGGACAAGATTGAAGCGAACATTCTCTTGCTTGGCATTCTAGGACTTTACCGTTGCACCGCCAATGGCCCCCTCATGCAACCAATTCAATGGTTTGGACTAAGCACCAACTTTTAAGTTCTATAATTTCTTGGAGCTAGATTTTCCACAAAGTAAATGAAATAATATTCTAAATGATGGTTACCAAATTGGCACATTTGGCTCATATTTGCCAATGGGCCATTAATATTTTTTTTTAAATAAGATAAAATTCATTTGGAAAAAAAAAGAATACATTGGGAAGGTGATAAAAAATCATCCAAAGTGGAAATAAACACAAGAGCCCAACTTTGACCTCACAGATTCCATACTAATACCAATAGAATTGAATGGCAAAATGTTATAATATTTTATTCAAATAACCTTTATCACAGTCCAATAAAACAAACCGATATATTCATTTATTGTCAACTGATATTGCTTGTTTGCAATGGCTTTTGCAACTCCTTATGTTAAAAATTGTCATTTTAATTCCATCTTCGTAAATTTTTACCAAATTAGATGATACTTACTAGGTTGGCACATTTTGCCCTATATTTGCCAAAGGGCCATTAAGATTTTTTTTTTTTGAAGAATAAGATAAAATTCAATAGGAAAGTGATAAACCATCACCCAATTAGGAAATAAACCCAAGAGCCCAACTTTGATCTCCCAGATCCTATACTAATACCCCTATAACAGAATGTCAAAATCTTATAATCATTTCTCCAAACAACCTCTATCACAGTCCAATAAAACAATCCAAGATATTCCTTTATTTATTGTCAAATGATATTGTTTGTTTATAATGGCTTTTGAAGGTCGTTATATTAAAAATTGTCATTTTAGGTCCATCATGGTAAATTTTTATCAAGTTAGTTCATGGTTAACAGGTTGGCACATTTGGTCCCACATATGCCAAGAGGCCATTAAGATATATATATATATATATATATATATATATATATATATATATATATATATATATATATTTGAAAAGTAAGATAAAATTCATTAGGAAAAAGAACACATTAGCAAGGTGATAAGGTATCACCAAAGTGGAAATAAACCCAAAAGCCCAACAATGATCCCACTGGTCCCATATTAATACCCCTATAACCGAATGGCAAAATCTTATAATATTTTTTCAAATAACCCCTATCACAATTCAATAAAACAAACTAAAATAATCATTTATTGTCAAATGATATTACTTCTTTTGCAATGGCTTTTGCATTCCTTTATATTTAAAATTGTCATTTTAATTCCATCATAATAAGTTTTTACCAAGTTAATTGATACTTACCATGTTGGCACATTTGGCCCTATATATGCCAAGAGGCCATTAAGATATTCTTTTTTTTTAGAAATAAAAGAAAAATAATTACAAAGGTGATAAAACATCATCCAAGCGGAAATAAACGCAAGAGCCCAACAATGATCCCATTGGTCCCATATTAATACCCTTACAACCGAATGGCAAAATCTGATAGTATTTTCTCCAAACAACCTATATCATAGTCGAATAAAACAAACCAAGGTATTCGTTTATTGTTAAATGATATTGCTTGTTTGTAATGACTTTTGGATGTCTTTATATTAAAAATTATCATTTTAACTCCATCTTGATAAATTTTTACAAAGTTAGTTGATGATTACCAGATTGACACATTTGACACCATATTTGCCAAGGGGCTATTAAGGTTTTTTTTTTGAAGAATAATGTAAAATTCATTAGAAAAAAGAATACATTAGTATGGTGATAATCCATCACCCAACGAGGAAATAATTCCTAAACCCCAACTCTGATATCACAGATCCCATAGTAATACCCGTAGAACTGAATGGCGAAATCTTATAATTTTTTTTCCAAACAACCTCTATCATAGTCCCAAAAAACAAACCAAGATATTCCTTTATTGTCATATGATATTACTTCTTTCCTATGACTTTTCTATTCCTTTATATTTAAAATTGTCATTTTAGTTCGATCTTGGAAAATTTTTACCAACTTAGTTAATGGTTACCAAGTTGGCACATTTGGCCCATAACTGGCAAGGGGACATTAAGATTTGTTTTTTTTTTGAAAAATAAGATAAAATTCATTATGGAGGTGATAAGGCATTACCCAAACGGAAATAAACCCAAGAGCCCAGTAATGATCCCACTGGTCTCATATTAATACCTCTACACTGAATGGCAAAATCTTGTCATCTGTTCTCCAGACAACCTCTATCAAAGTCCAATAAAACAAACCAAGATGTTCCTTCATTGTGAACTGGTATTGCTTGTATAAAACGGCTTTTGGAGGTCTTTGTATTAAAACTTGTCATTTTAACTCCATCTTGTTAAATTTTTACCAAGTTAGTTGATGGTTACCAGGTTGGCATATTTGGCCTCATATCTGCTAATAGGCCATTAAGATATTTTTAATTGAAGAATGAGATAAATTCACTAGGAAAAATAATACATTAGGATGGTGATAACCCCTCATCCAAAGAGGAAATAATTTCAAAAGCCCAACTTTGATCTCACAAATCCCAAACTAATACCCGTACAACCGAATGGCAAAATCTTATAATTTTTTCTCCAAACAACCTCTATCACAGTTACAAAAAACAAACCAAGATATTTCATTATTGTCAAATGATATTGATTGTTTGCAATGTCTTTCGCATTTCTTTATATTTAAAATTGTCATTTTAATTCCATCCTCGTAAATTTTTACCAAGTTAGTTGATGCTTACCATGTTGGCACATTTGGCCCTATATCTGCCAAGGGGCCATTAAGATATT